CACTAGCCYAGTGTCACAAGTAGTCACTCTGTCCTGCACCATTCCTTTCTCCATGACACCAGGCTCCTGCAGAGACCAGCTCTGTGTCACGCAGAGYCCTGGTATTTGCCAGCTCTGGAGGATTCTGGTAGCCCTGTTGCTGGTTAGGATGGAAATGGGTTCATGTGGGCACAATCCCATTGTCCTTGTCCTGGGACATCCTCAGTGCATGTATTTTGCCTGAGGAGGTACCTAAGTCCTGAGCTCTGTGGTCTGATCCCCATGCCGCTTCTGTGGAGGGTGTGAAGGTATGGCAAAGCTTTTGGAYCTCAGTTCTGGAGACATTTTCTCAAACTTTCAGTTCAGAATCTCCCTGATCAGCTCCTGTGTGCCAGTCCTGAGAGCAGCATTTCCTCAGGGAAATGGCACAGGGCAGGACTCAATCCTCAACACCAGACTGGTGAACCYCCTCCATTTGCATGTAATTGCAGCTTTGCTTTTGCTTGGAAGTTTTGGAAAATCAATTTTGCAATCCCTACCTTTGTGCCAGCAGACAACAGGAATAGAAACTGAGGTGAGGGGTGACACCTGTAGATGTCTGGGGCTTGGCTGCTCCCAGGTGACATGTTTGGTGTCCTTGGGCTGCCATGGCCCAGGTGGAGCCCAAACAGCAGCAGCTCCAGYGAGCACTGCCCAGAGGGGATATCTGAGGGTTTTCTGAGAGCCTGCACCCCGTGCCTGAGATATTTTCCGAGTGCTGCTGGCCTTCCCACGTGCTGCAGTGCTATTGCTCCAGCCAGGAGAGGAGGAGACATCCCTGTGCCCTGCATACAGACCCACAGCCACCCACAGGCTTTAACCACAGAGGCAGCTGCCCCAAACACACACAACACTCTCTCAAGCCTCCACAGGGAGCCAGCCCTGCTGTGGGGGCTGCCTGGGGCAGATTTCTGCTCCCTCCATCCCACCTGAGCTCAGTGAATGCAAGGTTCTGCTCCTCTCAGCCCCCGTGAGACCGGAGAGCTCCTGAATCCTGACCTTCAGACTTCATCCCCCTTCACCACGGTTCCTTTTGACTCCTGTTGCTGCCCAGATTTTCCCAACAGCTGTCCTCTCCCTGGCTGGCTTTGTGCCCAGATCAATCTCTCTGCATCTGTGYCGTGCCCTCCTGACTCCCCAGGGACCTCCTTGAGTCCCTGCAGCCTCCATCCCCTGAGACCAAGTGCAGTCCCTGGAGGGGATTCTCTGCCTGATGGAGAGTCCAGGGCACCTCCAGCTGCACTGGACTTTGGTGCTCCTGCTGCCATGGAGTGRGCACTGTAGGACTTGGACCTCTTTTCTTTCCGTCTGTAACCCCCCCACGCACAAACAGGGCTTGGTAAATAATAGTGTGATGAAGGGGTTCAGATGGAAGAGATCTGACAGCCCCCATTGAATGTGATCTGAATGCACAGCCCTGTTCCCTTTCCTCCCTGCATGCAGCAGCAACCCCCTGCTCCTTAGGGCATAAATTACTTACCATTCCCTATAGAATTGAGGGCATGGTTAATTCACCAGCATGTTCATGCTGCCCAGCAAAAAAATTATGATGCTCTCTCTCCTCCCCTGGCTAGCAGAGCTGCTCTGTACCTCTGCCTGACTGGTAGAGGGAGGCAAAAGCTTTTTATTTTCAGGTCCTCTGCTGATTTCTGAGTCTTGGGTCTTGTCTGACTCTTCAGTAGGACAGGCAAAGTGCAAGTGTTGAAATGTTTGCAAGTGGAAGTCAGAACTAGTGGCCAAACACCTTTCTTGTCGTAGCTGGAATAGCTGACCACAGAAGGCAAGTGGGGATTTCCTGGTCTGAGTTCCTCCTGACCRTTTGTGACTTTGTTTTAGAGCAGACACTCACATTCTGTATCTCCTGGGTCCCATCTGTAGCCTGAGTGGGAAATTGTGCTCCTAGCAGTATTCTGAGATGTAAAAAATCACTAGTGTGGAATGGCTGCGAAGGATGCTCGGTGCACGGGGAGCAGCCTAAACAAAATATGTCCTTAGGGCTCTCCACTGTGTGAGCGAGGCAATGTGATGTGTGATTTTTGGGCTATTATTAATTYAACAAAGAGTGCAGTGGGGCTCAGTGGAGGACTCAGACTGGACCTGCAAAAGCCTCTCYAACATTATTATATAGAGCACTTCTCCCTGGGAGGGCTCCAAAGCATCATTTGTGGAGTTGAATTCTTTTTATAAATCATGGGGCACGTGATGGGCTGCATTCACTTAGGCTGCCTCTCCTGCATCCTTCCTGGAAACTCATCTAATAAGAGCTGGCCTCTGCATGTTCAAAGCTTGATGTGCTACCGGTTGTTAATTGCTGGCAGTAGAAGTGCTTCTTTTTTGCCTTGAAATGTGGAATCCCTTCCTAGAATTGCACTGGGGACTAATAAAAGCCACTGCCAGGTTTAATATATTCTATCTCTCAAATTATCTGGATTAAATACAAGGACTGTGTACTGCCAGRGAGGGGATATTCCCAGTTTAACATTGCTTCTGGGCCTTGGAGAGTCCAGGACACTGGACCTGAAAATTGTGATTCTCTTTTGTGTGGGGGATGGGTTTGGCAGGAGTGCTTGGAAATGGTCATATCTGCCTGAGTTAGAGAAGTAATTGCCGTAAAAACTATGGGTTTGTAACCAATAGTTACAGCTGCAGGAAAGATCAAAAAGCATCTGAATAAATCAAATTAACTACCTTCTGCTCCATCCATATGAGAGCACAACCTTCCAGGGCTGGATTTAAACCACAGTCTGGTTTACACTTAACTCTCTCATCCACTAATTGAGTAGAGTGAACAGTGTAGAAATAGGATCAGCTAGAAGAGGACATCGTGRRGCTGCCRTGCTGGGYTGTGGGAGGAGGCTGGTCTCAGTCYGGGAAGGGTAAACCCAGRCAAGGGCGGTAAAGGTGGAGGCTGGCTGCTGTGAAAATATCCCAGACTCGGAGGCTGTTGGTCCAACACCCCTGTTAATGCACAGACAGTGGTCCCTGGTAATTGTTTGACTGCCCACAGCCCGGCTCGCTGGTTCGTGGCTCTGATGCTGGTGATGCCCTAAGGCGGGCGGCAGCCCACGTCTCCTGGCGTGTCTCACTCTGCCTGTGGCTCTCCTCACGAGCCTCGGGATGATGAAGCGAGTTCCAGCTCACCGCTGACCTTCCAGGCTTTGCGCTACTCCCCGYTGTGTGCCAGCGAGGAATGTCAGCCTCGGGATTTTGTTTCTCGCTTTTGTCTCCTCCGCGGAGCCCCGCGCCTTCAGCAGCCGGCGGCGCTGGACAGCTCCGGCGGGCGGGACCCCGCGGGCGG